TTGTTAGTATTATGAATAATAACATCCTACAGAAATAGCAAACATAATTATTATTTTTATAATAATGGGTACATTTTTATTTAAAATATACTGTCTAAGAGAAATGAACCTCGAGTTTATATGAATTAGATACGATATCGAATGATTATCTCTATTGTATATTAGTAAGAACATCATTGGTATCATAATTTTTAGTGTTTGTGATCCGATTATTTATATTTTAATTTTTATGAATGGTTTAATCGTTCTTATCCATTTCAAATCGCTGATATGATGAATTTCTTTTTACTTTAGCATAAATTTTTGCAAGTTTTGCTGATGGATTGAACAAAACATTGGTGGCACAAATGAAAGAAAAAATGCTCAACTTAGATGGCTTTTTATATTAACATATACATTTATATGTCGTATCGTTTTTAGTATAAAACGTATGAATTTATATGAAAGTTTAAATCAATGTGATCAAGTTTMTTTTTCCAAAATTGTGGACTCTATAGGTTRTGGCGAAATATACATTTTGTATATTTTGTGAAGTATGGATTGGAATAGAAGAATATGTTGTGTGTTTTATCCAATACGTTATTAAAATATTGCTTTTTATCTTTTGTAATWATTATGTTWRTRTATTATYTGTTTTTATTTTACATCATGTTGTTTTCAACTACTATATACGATTCGTTAACTTTTAGTGTTTGTGATCCCATTATTCATATTTTCATATTTATGAATGGTTTAATCTTTCTTGGCCATATATATCAAATCGCTAATGTTATAATGAATCTCTTTTTTTTTTCTTGAGCATATATAATTTTTTTTATACATATACATATATTGTATTTTGTTTTCTTAGATAAATGATGGTAATATAAAATATTAGTGTAATTGTGATAATGATTGGAAGATTGTAGTTTAACTATGAACTGTAAATATTTTTAACATTATTAAAAACTGTAAACGTGCAATAGTTAATTATGACATTTAATTATTAATATATTTGAATTTTTTTTTAAATGATTTTGATGTTTATGCATCATTATTTTCTTTTTCAGATTTTCTAACTAAAACAGTCTCAATCTAATGTAGCGAGAGACGCAAAATTAAAAATGTGCAAAAACTTATTAATTACTAAATATTAAACATACACATACGAATTTTTTAAACTCCCACCTTACGCCAAGACATACGATGCCTTAGTCTTCGGTATACTCAGTAGCAACAAACAACTAAACCTTGAAGAAAGCCTTGGATTTTGACATATATACAAAGCAGAGTTACAATGAAGAAGATCATCCCTGATATGTGAAACAATGTCTTTAAACAACGCATCAACTGTGTGGAATGAACATCGAGTTTGACTTCGAAGACGCATCAACTATACAATTTTAACTTTTTGTGAAGCTCCTCTTCCCACACCACTCGCCTTTTCTTGGAGGTGGAAGCACAATCATGTTCATGATCATAATCCTCCTCAATTCATTTGTTGCTCTTGTTAGGGTTTTTTTTGTGGTGGAATCTCCCACAGAGGATAAATTATCCGTGACTGCTGTCGCCTTCCCATCTATCTCTCTCGCAGCCACACTCCTCCTTCCTTGCATCTTCTTTGCCATGAAATATGATAATTTTAAAATTTAGACAAAACAGAAAATAATAATCAAATCAAAAGAAATTTAAGTTCTTACCTTTCTTAAATCACAAGAGATTAGTGGAGAGAGGCAAAACTAAGAAAACTAATTAGTAAAATCTAGTGATCAAAGAAAAAACCAAATTGAATCAAATCCGAGAAACTATATAAATTGAAAATCGAACAAAAAGAAGAGAAAAATATACACCACAAATTGAAGATCGTAAGTCAAGAACTGCAATCATCAACAAAGAAACAAACGATGTCATATATTAGAAGAAGAGTTGATTACAATAAAAAAATCTGAAAACCAAACTAAATTCGTGTATAAGACAAACAAAACAATGAATTTTATATGATAACTTGCTCAGTATGTTTTGAAGCTGCTGGTTTTCTTATGCGAAAAAATGAAACATAACATCAATACTACTTTTAATAAAAAGAAGCCAAAAAAATGGTTAGGCCGGGATAATATGGTTCAGTAGAGCACATGTAAATCAACAAAGAAATAATCGAAATGAGAGCCCATGGAGTAATCGTTATAAAAAAGAAGAAGAACATACTAAAAAAAGAGTATTAAAACGACAAAAAACAAATCAATGAACAAAACATCAAACATAATCAATGAATCAATGAACCAAAAGCCTTTGAGACTCTCCCACAAAGCAAAACACAACAAAACAGAGAAATTCAGAAGGATATAATTTTTTCTCCATAGAACTCGACCTCGTAACCTCTTTATATGTGAGATTTTTAATCATGTTTTAATAGTTTTTACTTTTGATCTTCTATTTTCCTTTGTTTGAAGGTTTTTTTTAGTAACCTAAAAAAAAACACAATCACAAAGTTAGGTTTAAAATGACAGCAATATTGTAGATTGAGAACTGTGAGTTTGGGGTCATCATCACAAACTTGAGATACTGATCATATAACTCCCATAGCAAGAACCCCAAAATGGTGTTTCTGGCGAGGCTCTTTAAAGCCTTTTAAAATCGAGCTGCTCGATGTAATACTATCATCAGATGAATCTCCTCTTCCTACCAAATCCCAAAGCCGGAGATCTTAGAATCTGATACCGACGCATAAATCACACCGTTCATGTGTCCTTTTCCTATCACACCCACCACTGTTTTACACCCATTCACCGCCTTGATCCTCTTCAACGACCAAACAAGATACTGTCAACTCAAAAACATGTTTCGTCAATTCGTATCGACAAAATGTGTCTACAACTGAATTTGGTATTTTAAATGGTACTTTGATATCAAAATTATACTATTTTAGATCGATAAAAGATAAGTACAATGTAACTTTAAAAAAAAAACATAATACAACTTACTTTGATATCAAAGAACACAAAATCTAGAGAAAAAAAAGAAAAAAAATTAGATAAGACCAAAAACTTAACTAACGACCATAAGAATAAGAACAATTTAAAAAAAAAAAAATTAGCATTACATAGATCTACGATATAGAGACAAAATAAAATATCAAAGCATAATAATTGTCTAACGACAATGGAATATGCAAAACAAAATACATAAGCAACATCAACGAACAACCATGGTGTAAAATTCGTACCTGAACAACGACTGATAAACCTGAAAACAAACTAATATATACGAACAACTTAAAATAATATACCTCTCAGCAAACCTATCACCGTGTGGTTTATTTTGTCTATCTCTTGCCCATCGTTGGGTTTGTTAGTCATATTTATCTTCAATTAAAGATTACAAATGCCAAACGAACCGATGTACTGCAACATTCGGTGTGTATTTTTAATAATTAAATATATTTTATGTAACTAATTGTGAACAAAAAAGCGACATAAACATTAAAATTTGATTAAAAAAATGTGTAAAATTCTTTTCAGGTTATTAAGCACCATAAAACGAAAAGAAAGTTCATAGATTTATAAAAGAAAATGTTATGCTCGAATACTCATTTTATACTAATAACT